TAAGATCTGCCTAATGTCCCGACAGCTGTGGAGGAGGTGTTGGTGTCCACACGGCGTGCATCTGCATTAAAAACCATGACGGCTTACAGAGTGTGGCACCAAATTTCTGTTTTTCTCCTTCAAACGAGAACAAAATGAGAGAGTGAAGCCGAGAGAAACTTGCAACTTTAATCGAACAGATGCTAAGTCCTGAGAAGCTTGAGGGCCCGTGCTGATGTTTCTGTGGATTTTTGGACATGCTGGGAGATTTAAGCCATGCATGAATTTTAAAATGTGCAAAAGAAGCGATTTATTCCAAACCAGAAGTTACTTGAGTTCTCAATCTGCTGGAGTCAATGTGGACGGAGGTTTTAAAGGCTAATCCACCCCTGGAGGTTCAGGGCTTCAAACCACTTGTGGGGAGCTGGAAAAGTAGCATTAAAGATGAAATGGAAGACTTTATCCAAAAGCGAGCAGGTTCTTCCAGATTTAAGGTGAACTTAAATCTCGATGAGGAGCTCATCATCTTTGGGGAATCCCTCGTAAATTGACAGGGTAACAAATGGCCGACATTGAATTGAAAAACTGAGACAAACCTTAAATCTGTTTTGATATATTTCCCAAGAGTCATCAGTCGTTTCTTATGGCTGTTATTTACGCAGGGACAGGTCTTTTGAAGGTCTAGTTTCTGTAAAGAAATATCATGTTTTTACGTATAAAACCCAAATAAAACATGTGGGAATCGATCCAATGGGCTCTAAATGTTAACATGACTTCTGTTAGGGTCAAAACGTGCATTTCCATTCTGTCCAAAGAAGATTTCAAGTATTTTTTAAAAAGCTGTTGAAGTGACGGAAATTCATCAGCTTTTACAGCATTTTCCTTTAAAACCTTTATGAGAAAAAAGCTTTTATAATACCAAGTTGACGGACTTAGAGGCAAAGTGACGACTGGGAGCAAAGAGGTTGACAAATGATAGATTTCATGATGCATTATTTGAATTTGTTAGAAGACAAATGTTCAAAATGTTTCTTTATTTTCTGTCAAAATCGATAGATTTCTTTACTTTCTGGAGCATGGAGGAACAAGCTGGTCGGTGAACGTGATAAAACGTCACATAAAACAGACATGCCAAGACAAAGAGACACAATTCTGATTGAAGTTTAGTTTAAAGCATCCTATATCCTTAATAACTCATTAACGAAAGGCTAATTAAAGGGCTTTGCCGCCCTGAGTTCCGACTCAGGATGTGACTCCTGGATGCTGATCACAGATACAAAGAGAGATCCACGGGGTGGAGACGGGTCAGCCATAAAGAGAAGAATCCTGCATGGACGGATGACCAAACCTTTTACAGCCAAAAAAGTGCAGCAAGATGGGGTTGTGTGACTCCGCAAAAGGCCACGGGATCAGTGGAAAAAGCCGGACACACTCTCCGCTCAGTGGATTCCTGAGAGGAGTTTAAAAAGAGGACAGAAGAGCAGATTGGGCTCAGAGTCACTGAGAAAAGATGTTCAGTAAATATCATTAAAACCAGATCAGACAGGTCGCCATCACCTAAAGTGTTAAACAGATAAAACAGCCACATTCTGCTTCTGTTTTGCTAACTATTCCTCAAACATCCCCATCACTGTATTGCTCTATTGTTTCCTCCAAAGACAGTCAAAGATCTATAAATCCGTACTGCAACAACAAGAATTTGCTTGGATTTGAGTAGACTGAACATAATGATGGATTCAGCCATCTTTTAGTTATGACCATGTTGTTATTTTGAACATGAGCACGATGGTTTGCAGTTTATTCTAATTCGGATCCAATTGTGCTCATTAGACAGAGAACACTCTACTTTACCTCCATTTTGCCTCATATTGTAATGAGTCTCACCGAAAACATTTCAGATTGTCTCAGCTCATTCTGAGCATAGTATTATTGTCTGTTCTAATGATACATTTCCACAATTTCGGCTTAAACACTGACTAAAAGATGGAGCTGAATCCTGCATGTCATGTTTTTTGGAAAGAGTTTTCTGCTCTTTCTTTTAAACTTGTTGGTTTTTATTAGGAGCATATTTTGTAAAGGAGGCCACTACCTGCTCCAAGATACTCAACAAACAAAAGTCTTTTAGACGACCCTCAGGAGGAAGAGGCCTCTTAGATGGACCGAAGTGTGTGTGTGAGTGAGTGTGTGTGTGTGTGTGTGTGTGTGTGTGCTCCTGTTTAGTGCTGCTAAGCTGTTTGAGTCAGCAGTAACGGAGTAACCTCCAGTAGCTGCCAGCAGGCCGCTGAAGGCAGCCGACAGGTGTTCCGAGCCCCGCTAACGGACCCAGGGCAACATTAGCAACTGCACTCAGACTGGAGAAGAACCCAGCTTCCTTTAAAATTCTTTGAGAAATTAGTTTTTTTCCCTCATTGATGGGGCATGATAAAATAGATTAGTAAAAATGGACTTAAAATAAATGTAATGCAGATTTTTTTCTATTGAAGTAATACACAATCATTTTCTGATTATCTCCCTTTGTCACAACAGAACATGTCCATCCTTACACACATTCTCCTCTTTTCTGGCCATAGACGGCTCAGTTTATTTAAATATATGTATCCCATAGTAGCCTGACTGAAACGGAAACCGAGCTTCCAATTAAAGGTATAAACATCCAAGTAACTTGTTTATGGGTTGAATAACTTTTTATGTTTAAGTCTAAATAAACTGAAACAGGCTTCACATAGTCCAAAGTTCCATCTTTTAACAAAAAAAAAGTGTCGAAATACTATTTAACTCACATTAAAATCTGCTCTAATTCACAGATGTTTCCACTGAAGGTAAAAACGTCAGTAATTGTGAGTGAAAATCAGCTTTTTTGATGCTGGAGTGCAAACCTGTGGTCACTTAAAACATTTCCAGGCTCTCTGTCCTGGAGAATTAGTCAAACGGTGGCTCAGTTCACCTTCTCTGAATGAATGAAAAGGATGGAAGTCAGATTTAGGTGTAGTTTTGATTCATCTGTGATCCAGTGTCGCAGATGGCCTGGTTAGATATGACACGTTAGAAAAGTAGCTGTGCGGAAATTTAAAACTTGCTGTTTTTGACTGGATTCTGTAGAGTTTAGAACCAGGGACAGCAAACGTCACACAGCTGTGCGTCAGATGCACGATCTGAGTCCGGAAACAAATTTCTGAGGCAATTCTGGCCTTAGCCACATGACCATAGTTCCATTAGAGGTTTGTGTCTATGGTCCAAAGTGTTCTGGACACAGCCTTAAAGTTAGGCCCCCTCACCCAGGAATGCTGGGCTGTTCAGATGTGTCACTTTCTCTTTTGGTCCTTAAATGCACCGGGGATAAAAAGCACGATGGCGTGTCTGAATGTGTGTTTCTGTGTCTCCTTGGTCAGCGCGCTCGTCCACGACCACCACCATGGTCATCGACAGTAAGGCCGGAGAGGCCGGGTCAGCGCCCGTCCGGCCGCCCAGGAGGAGTTTCACGGAAGACCTCTCCTCTACTTTCAGCTCGCCGCTGGCCTGGATCCTGGTCCTGGCGCTAATCATAACCTGGTCATGTGTTTTTGTCATTATGTTCGATCTGATGGACTACAAGACCGTTTCAGGTACGGCCTACGACGGGATTCAGTCGATTATTTGGGTTTGTTTGAGCTCAGTCTGACTTATTTTATACATATAACTGCCAAATATCCTGACAACATAAATGATTTTGTCATATTTGTTGATAAAATGATTCTGTTTATCCGAATATCTCCGATTTTTTATGATCAAGATGTGAATCTGAGTGATGGATGGTGAGGATTTCATCTTTCCTCAGGCTCATATTCTTGTTTTTTTGATAGTTTTTTGATAAACTGAAAGACTAAGTTCCATAAATGAGCAAAGCAACGTACAAAGTTAGCACAAAGATAAAGAAACTGGAGGAAAACGAAGACAAGAGAGTTATAAATATCGATTGGTTCCATCAAACTAGGAGTGAGGAGTCTTTCACATTGACTCCATGACGGGGACCATGTTGGGTTTACAGTATTTTACATTTAGTCAGGAAAGCTCCTTTATTTTAAATCTCTGTTTAACTGACTGTTTGTGTGTAAATCTTTCTCAACGTTTCCACTGTTGTGTTAAAAGTCAGTTTAAAGGGTAAAAACATGAAAGACTAAAGATCTTTCCTTTGAATGTTACTGAATTAAACTAAATTCTGTAACATTCCTGATATATCAGTTTAGATTCTTATATTGTAAAAAGGCAAAAATTGAACATCTCACTTTATGTCCGAAGTGAACACCTAGACTCATTTTCTAACCTTCATCCCTCATTAGCGACATTAAGTGTGATAAACAGTAAACTAATGGTTTCACATTAATAACAATTGATTAAAGGTAATGAGTTGCTTTACTTTTGTCTAACATTTCTTATGAAGTCAAACTAAATTAATGTGTGAAATGTGTTTTAATGTTCCTTTTATTTACTCTAATTGATTCACTTCTTTATATGATTCATTTCCATTTGTCTCCTTTCCTTTCCTTTCCTTTCCTCTGCTCTTCTTTCCTTTCCCTTAATCATCCATCCATTTTATTTATTTCCTTTTATTTATTTATATTTTATTCCTCTCTTCTACTCCACCTTATCTCCTTTCCTCATAAATCATTTCCTTTCCTCTCCTCTGTTTTTCTAAAATGTGGCTTATTGCTACTCTTTTTCATCCAACCAGATCGACCGCCTCTCATCAGGAAAGTTTTAAAGGATTCAGGCCGTAAAGGCAAGGCACAATTTGCTACTAACGACAGACCAGAAGCAAACTAAAACTACTAATGAGCTAACGTTTATCACAAATACTTGAGAGTTCTTTCACAGAGGAGATCTGTAGCTGAACTTTACGGCTGTTTTCTGCTGGTGATGCCTTCATGCCTGATGCTGACTGTATTCTGGCTGTTCAGCCATAGAATCGCTTTCAATTTCCTCTCTGGGGAACGTTTTTTTACGGCAATCTGCGCTGTTTTTCTGCTGTTTCACGTGTTTTTTATGCTCCCTGCATCAGTCTGTGGGAAGCAGGTTCAAACAGCGTGAAACTGTTGCACTTCTCTTTTTTTTTAATTTGGATTTGTTAAGAATTTCCCCGTGTATATTTGACTTTTAGTCCGTATAGAGGAGGCTGCTTTAAAATCAGCCCATTATTAAAACATCTGTTGTTTCCAGGCTGTAGTTCAAAAGGAAAGCAGATGGTACGTTTGCACTGGGAACGCTCTTTCGTAGAAACGTTTGCTTCCTAAACTTACAGCACGGCATTTAACTGAGCAGAGATTTGATGCAAACACAAGACAATGCTGAAAATACATAAACGAAATGGAAATATGTCAAAGAAAAAAGATGACTTTTCAATGCTTTTTGCGCAGCAATATGCTTAAACGTGCTCATTTCGGTGGTTAAACTGAGTGGTGGGTCATGGTGGGTATCGTTAATGTGCACCAATCAGGTCCTGACATTCATCTCCAGGCCTCTCAAACACGTTTCCTCACACCCCATCTGAGTTTAACCACTAGTTATTTAGCTGCTTTTTTCCCCCAACATGCTGAAAGATGTATCCTGTGCAGAAAAGAACCTTTACCAAACAGAACCCCTGACTCCTTGTTGATCTCTGTGTCCACTCCTCTGGCAGGAGGTCTCAGCAAAATGCGCTCGGACCCCTTGAAGGTGGTGAACGATGCGGTGGAAGAGTCGACCAACCTGGTCTCTGCGGTGTTAAACTTCGCCGCCAGCCTGATTGCTCCTGATGAAGAAGACGGTACGCGCAATAACGCTCAATACGACCTCATAACTGTGCTAAACTTTAAGTTTACCACCTCAGAAGTGGTTGAAAAGATGCTTTAAAGTCCGTTGATGCATCTCCCTCTCACCCGTTTAGGAGGCTTGTACGCAGTGAGGAAAAAAGGTTCGTACAAACAGGATTTGCCTGCATTTTGGGCTTTTAGGTGTATTGTTTTTTTGCACTCGGAGTTGGAGTTTGCCCACAGCTCCTTTCTCCTCATTGAAAAATCTAAATTTGCACCGCCTGGATTCAGCATGTCCGCGTTCAGAAACGACCTGACATCAACCCAAAATCTGTCTCAGAGATTTGACGCGGAAATGTCCAGATTAGACATCGTGAGCTGGCCACTGCAGGAAGCTGCTTGTTTTACAGGCACACAGCTTTTTTTAGTTTTTTCCACCAACTCCAGCGACTTAAGGAGAACAATACGTGACTTCATACACCGCTTCATATGTAAAAATGCTGAGGCAGTGTTGGAAAAAGTAAAAGGACTGGTTCAGTATCTGAAACATTCAGTGTGGCTGTGGATTCATTTTGGAGCACAACTGGGCCTTACAGCTTGGTTCATATGAAATATGATGTGCAGAAAGGTGTAATTTGTTGTTCCGAGGCAGTGTTTGCCTATTTCTGAGCCCTTTACAGAATTAGAGGGATGTTTCACCATGCTCTGATGCAGAATTAGGTTTGAAATGATTTGAAATAACGTATGTTAATGGAATTTTAACAAAAATACTGGAGGTTTTTGTTAAAATGAAGCTGAGTGACCTCTGAAAGACCTGCAGGACAACACGGGCAAGCTATTACAGATACTGTTGTGGTGATAGGTCCAAGCTAACTGTATTTATGAAACGTCTCCAAGATTCAACGTGGTTGGAGGAGGAGCAAATGGAGGTGAAGAATAAGAAACCAAGAGGTACCTGATTAATAGCTTCCTGAACTCCAACCTGTAACAGTCGACTAATGAAGGAAACTCAACTGAACTGAGATCAGTGTGCTTTTTGTCTTAATTAGATGCTCCCAAATTGGCTTGTGTGGTTTTCCCCTCCACACTTGATCCTAACAGGTCTCACAAAGTTTTTACCTTCTAATGAAAACCACCTGTGAATGAATTTGTGACTTCCAGCATGCCCGATCCCGTTCAAACTGTGTATCTGGTGCTTTTTCCAATTTCTAAACTTACTTGTTTTTACCTGACATGCAGGAGAATTTCTACCATCAAGAAGTAAAGGTTTGTATCTCATGGTTTTGATGAAGATTTGATGCTGTCTGAGATAAAATGTGGTGACTGTGAGCATTGGAATAACTCGCCGTGTGTCCAGTCATAGGAATGCAGGCTAAGGAGAAGCTGCCGGCCATTGAAGTGGAAGAGGAGGGAGAGGAGTTTGGAGAGGAAGAGGGGGAAGAGACTGATGAGGTGGAGGCCCCAGCAGAGGAGGAGAAACAGGAGGAGTTAGAAGGAGAGGAAGACGAGGAAGAAGAGGATGACGAGGGATATGATGAGGAGTATGATGATGAGGAGTATGATGAGGAGTATGATGATGAGGAATATGATGAGGAGTATGACGAGGAGGAGTATGATGATGAGGAGTATGATGAGGGGGAGTATGATGAGGAGGAGGAATATGAAGAAGCTGAGGAAGAAGGGGGAGATGAAGGAGGAGATGATGTAGAAGAAGATGGACAATTGGAGGAGGAGGGAGTTATTGAACAAGATGAAGATGAAGAGGGCTTGGAAGAAGAAGATGATGAAGGGGATGCTGGAGGAGTGGATGATGAGGAGGAACAGGAAGAAGAAGGAGAAGATGATGAGGAGGAGGAGGCTGGAGGAGTGGAACAAGAGGAAGAGGAGGAGGACGAC